GCAGGTGTGTCTGGGAACAGCTTTAGAGAGAGCTATTGATCCTACTGTGTACTCCTACTGTATATAGCCGAGCTCTGCCCACATCCTCACACCCTGAGGAAAACTATACAGGAACAGGCCACGCTAAAGGTCACCCTCTGATGGAGATAGGAAGCTGCATCTGGCTCTGCATACCTATTTAGTGTCTTAACTGGCTTGAAACCTTATTACTAAGTCAATCCTCATTCTCACACACTTTCATTTCAAAGCAGCAGTTATGCGTAGTGATTGTTAACATTGCTGTGGAAAATGGGGAGGGAGAACAACAAATAGCATGACTAGACTATATTAGTACTTTATTAGTTGGTTAAAAAAGTACAATTACGAACATTGATTAAGTTGTTACCCGCAGAGCCCAGTAATTATCAATATCAATTATTGCTTGTTTCAGCTATGATTTTAATTTGATGCATTATCAAAACTTTTCTGTCACATAACCAGCATTTCCACCTTCTCATAGTTTGTCATTTTTTAAAGATGCTCCTGTAACATGTCCTTGCTTAGAGACTTATTAGTTAATTACATATTAGAATTTTCTGTTCCTAATGTCTCAACACTACAAGAAATATGTCCTCTTCAAAGAGCAAGTTAATATTAAAGTTGTTTCCACCTCAGTTCAAAACAAGGTCACAAGATGGCAATAGCTTCACAATTTGTATTGGAGATACAATTAAAAAAACCTTTTTTGCATCTAATTCACTGAGGTACCACATATTGTGGTTGGCATTTTCTGAAAATCTTAGAAAAACTGTAGGACACTGTTGTTTGAAAATGCAGAATGGATTAATAAATACATTTTATTCCATTCAGCTGACAGTCCAGGATATGTCATATTCACTGAAGGCTTTATCGTGAGAATTGTAAGTAATTTTATTTAGCTGTGTGTTTCTCAGGCACTTCTTTAAACACTGGACACTGAATTGGTTTGTTGGATGCCACGTTATGCGCAGCTGTATGTGTTTAGCCTGCAGTTAATTCTGGATGGAAGTGAATGTCCATTAAATGTAATCTTGTTTTTCAGTCCAGCGCTCAAACCACAACTTCAGAGAATTGGCCACCGATGAAGACATCATCCATCATCCTACTGACGCTCAGCCAGAACACTTAGAGATAAATATGGAGGCTTTTCAAGTTGTACCTGTCTATGAAAAACCACCACAATCATAAACACACACAGAGTATGAATACACAAACTCATAATTCCTATCTATTTCTGCAAATCAAATTTGTAAAAAAAAAATTTTTTTAAATTCTCGTGCCTATTCATGAGCTACTCCTCATTCTGTCAGCAGCAGCTTCACCGCATTTTGTCCAGCGTCATTATTTCACAATCTTGATGATGGCTGCTGCTGTATGTCTGCATGTGTGTGTGTACACCAGCTTCTCTATCCCACCTTAACTCCTCAAAATGTATGAAGAAACCCAAAATAATCCACTCAGAAATTTGAGTTCTTGGTTTAATGAAATAGTGCTTTTAGAGTTGATCTGAGGAGCCCACTAGAACACTTATCTTAGCATCAACAGTGCTGCAGAAAAAAGAGCCGCCTTAATCTGATTGCTGGAGCTCTAAAAGGTTTTGTGCACATGGGTTCCTCTGCAGGCCGCTGGGCTCCAGGGCCAGGCTGGGCACTGAGGCCTGACTGCCAGCCCGACTTCGTGGCTGGACTGGCTGATAAAGTCCAGAGACTCATTGGTGTCTTTGTTAGCCACCAAGAGCCTACGAGTAAGATGATACCAATTAGAGGCTTTGAAAGTGTGATTCAATAAGTGGACACTACACACAGATGGATGCAGAAGCTCACAGATACACAACACCCATACCTTTTTCATACAAAAAAGATACAGTTATGGTATGTGTCCACACACACATGCAGACACATACTTTTAGACTCTGTGATTTGCTTTTGTTCCCTTTTTTTCACTGTACACCTACACATCAGTCTATGGACTCACACAGAGGAATTCATTTATCAGCGGTTCACAGTGCCCTGAAGCAAGTGAGAGCTGCAGCAGACATTGATCAAACTGACTTCTAACATGAAGAAGTTCAAAACCGCACTTTTCAAATCCCTTTACTGCCAGCAACCTTCCACTACTGAAATAAAAGAAAGCACTCATACTCACACACATACACATACTTGCACATTATTACACCCTGCTGTGTGTATTCTACCAAACATGAGCACACAGACTCACAGACCCACACTCACACACTCTTACACAATGCAACCTAACCCTGACATTTTTAGCTCACACTCATACAAAAATGGCATCAGTGCCTTTCACATTCCTCATCTGAATGACTGAGAAAATGTTTCAGTGATAACAAAGGTATTTTAAAAGTGACAGTGAAAACAATTCAATGACTGAATGCACTGTTTTTTTAAAGGAGCCATGTAGCTGTTCCCTGAAATGAGCACATTGTGCTGTTAAAGTACAAATCATCACCTCAAATTACTAATTTGTGCGCTCAATGGCCTTTTTCATTCCCTCATTTTAGTAATGTGTACCACTGAATTACTTAATTTGCTCCTTTGAATTAATAATTAGTGCCCTCAAATTTCTAAATCACACACTCAAATTCTTTCCAATTATTAGCATAATCACCTTCGTTCCATTTGTTCTTGTTCCCCCGACATTCTCATTATAGATGCTTGGATCTAATACTGTTTTATCAGGTTTTAGGCTGTTAAATACAATTTTGTATTATCTTTGGCATTACTTAAACTTATTTTACAGGATAACAGATGAGCTTTGCTGAAAGAGAGGGAATGCAAAAGTGTGAAGGCTAAAAAGTTCGAATTCACCTGTGTCAGTTTGCCACTGAGACTGCAAATCTCCACCTTTGGTTCAGATAAGCTCTCTAAACTACTCAAAGAATAACAGAAGCTTGTGTTCCTCCTACAAACAACACTAAATCCTGTTTGGCTTCCACAAAAGTCAAGGAAATACACCATCTTTTTGCACAGCAGCTCCAGAGTTATTAGCCTTTGTTCCAACTGTTTTGCATATTCAGCCTCCCTTCCAGCCCACATAGATGTTAATGCACTCCCACACAAACAGATCGGTGTGAACAGGGCAAACATATTTTCCATCTCTCTCTCTCTCACACACACATGCACTGTCTCAACTGTCTTTCACTGCTGTCTTTTTCTAAATCCCACTCACATCACACGTAACCAGGCACACACATGTCCAAACACACACACACACACACACACACACACACACACACACAGATAGTTGCACAAAGTATGTATTTCGTGAGTCTCTGGCAACCACCTCTCAGTGTGCTGGATCAGCTGAAATAGGATCCATCCCTCAGATCCCACTGTACCTCTCACACATACTGATGTAGCCTGATCTCCTGTCAGTGAGATGGCCTGCAGGGAGCGAGTCTGGGGCTTATAGCACGGCCTCCAGAGACCTTCTCAGCCAGATGCTCAAAGCTGGAAAGCCAGGAAACAATAGATACTACAGACAGCCAGCGATATTATGGGGCCAAGGCAGCTGCACAGTGGGCCCGCGTTGTTTATGTTACTTTATATGACATCACATCACAGCTCAAGTCTGGCAAGTCACCAGTGTTATGATGTGAGACGAATGCAGTACAGCGATACGCCTCAGGACACACATAATTGCATGGTAACACACTTGTGCATACTTGTATAAAGGCACACACGTGCACTTAGTTCACCGTGGCAACGGTGTCACAACAGTGGGCATGAAAACAGACTGTGTCAAAGCGAATCTACAGCACAAAGGCGGTGTGTCACTGCATGATAGCGTTCAAATGAAACCATAGCCACAGCTCTGACTCTGCAGTCGCTGGTTTGCAAGGTGTTTAAAGAAAAAAAAAAAGGTGTTTTTACAACTTGGGTCTTATTTTGGTTTGTATTGGCTAACAATGACATTAGTTACAACAATTTATTCAACAACTTGTTTGCTGAGATCTGGAGCTGTAAATCTCAGCAATTAAGTTTGTGTCTGTTTATAGCTTCCATTTGTTTGTGACTGCACATGTAATGTGTCCATTGACATGCCTGTAAAAGAAAAAAGCTAAAGTGAAAAATGTTGCTAATCAATATTGTAAAAAACAAACAAACAGAAAACATAGTGAATATAAAGTCAGAATGTGTGGTTATAATCAAAAAAGTAAGACTATTAATTATTCTGGAGTTATTACTACGTTCAAGTTATTACTACGTTCAAGTTATTACTACGTTCAAGTGAATCATCAATAAAAATCAATTCATCAAAACTCTCTGCCCATGTTTCATGCTACAGAGCTGATTTCTTTACACAGACGAGCATGTAAAATAAAACAGCACAGACTTGCCTTGTTGTGGGAACATTGCATTCATTTCTTCCTTCAATACAGTTTTTTTTTCCCGGGAGAGGCAGGTGCTCCACTCTCTGCAATACAGTTTGGTATATCCCCCTTTTCTCCCTTCTTTATTACTCTCTTTACATGAGAATGTATAAATATGGGATTATTGAGAAATTGATTGTTTCTCTCCAGTGTGGCCTTCCTCCCATTATTCTCTCATGCCAGCATAAGAAGCTAAAAATCCATCTGTGGCCCTGGCTGCAGACAATTGTCTGAAAGACCTGCTCCATCCAAACTGAATTAGAATCAATGTGGAACATACACAAGTAAGAGCATCATTAGATCAAGAGACATAAGTAAAGAGAGGGACAGTGAAGGAGAGGAAAAGCAGCTGATTGCTCTCCTCCGTTTCAAGCCATGTTATCAAGCTTCAAATGAGATCAGTATGAATCAAATTCGGTTTCCTTTTTTTCAATTCTTCAAGTGTTCATCTCTGCGTCTGCCGGTTGGTTACTTTTTCTCACAAGCACAGTGTGCACGTACACACAAAAACTCACAACTTTTCCAAGTGACTGTTGAGCCCAGCCTTGAGCCTTCAACTCTTGACGTAAGCACCACTTTCTCTCTGCAGACAAGAAGGGGGTGCAGAGTTAGAAGAGGAGGAGGAGGAGGAGCACAAGAAGATGCTGGCGGAGGAGAAGAAGGAGGATGAGGAAGAGGAGCATAGCAAAGAAGAAGGAAGTGAGCGACAGTGAGTCATGTGCAAAGACACAGCTGGTGTGACTGGGCTGCCTGAGTGAGAGCAAGATGTGTGACAGAGACTGAGAGAAAGATGAAAGGCTGTGGGTGGGTACAGTAGAAGAAGAAGAGGCGTATTATAGTGAAGCTGAAAGCAGGTCAGCAATAAATGGAAATACAAGGTGATTGATATGCCTGTCACAGAGGCAAAAAGCTAGAGATATGAATTAGGGAAATATGGTACAGAACCTAGAGAGGAGTCAGCAGGAGATTAGTGAGTGTTAGATAGCGAGATTTATTCAACAGGAGATGAAGAGATACTTGGAGAGAGCAACGCTAAAAAGCAAAGGAGGATAGGGTAGGCGGGCGTTTTAAGTAATTCTGAAACTGATACAGTTTGTAGGCAGGAGAGAGTTGTGTGAGGGGGATGAGACAGGGAGAGGAGATATGGTGTGAAAAAAGAGAGATACAGAGAAAGTAAGATATGAGAGGGGGTGAGATAGAGATAGATAGGCCGGCCTGGAGTGAGACAGAGTTATCGGCCATGATCGATCTGGCCGGCTGATGCCAAATGGGGGGTGTAATGATGGGTAATGATATGAGCCTGGAGAGGGAGCACAGTGTGTGTCTATGCGTGTGTGTGTCCTGGATCCATGACCGTTGCTCACTCTTTCATTAATTGGGCCAATTCATCTCGCATCGCAGAGAGGGTTTAATACACGCCCCCATAACAATCTATATATACTGTACGTCACAAGCTGAATCTCTCTATATCTCAAGCTTTGCTCCCTGTCCATTTATCTTCCTATTACTCTTTTTTGTGATCCAGACTCTATCCTCACTCCTTCTTCTTCTCTTAGTACATCTTACTCCTTTCTTTCAAGCCATTCTATCCCCTGAAATCTGTTCATCTGTTTTTCAAATGAACCTGTCAAACATGCATTGTCGCCGGGTAGTGCAACGTTTCAATTGATAAAACACATAGCATGCCAAGCCACACAAACATGCACACAGGCACACACATGCACACACACAGACACACACACACACACACACACACACACACACACAATGACATGTTTATCTGCAAACCCTTGGCAGACCTACTGACTCTTAAACAGTTTCCACAGCAACATGAAGTGGCTAAGAATAATGTATTCTGTTATGGTTGGGGATGATTAGCATCATCCTGTTCTGTTTCAATATCAGCATTAGACTCCTTATCTCAGACAAATCTTTTCAAGACACATTAGAAGAGATTGTAACATGTCACAGGGTTAGCTATATAATTTAAGTGAGCAACAGTTTTGCTTGAATAGTGATGTGAGAGCGAAGGGATGCTAAACTATACAGACTGGCTGAATAGTCATAAAAATGCATTTACACTGGCACCATTCAATGGATAAGCTAGTCTGTGGCCATTACTATGGAAACCAAATCCAATCCAAACCAGAAATTTTCAGAATTGACTATTTTCCAGCAACAGCATTTGACCATACTGATAGTAACTCACAAGCAGGCAGAATCTGTGACGAGCAGAATAATAAATAGTATTTCATTCACGGACAAACCGGCAGCTTTATATTATTTAAAACAACTGAATAATGGCATATATACTTAGTTCATATTCAACACACTTTTACTGAAACATAATGTAACTGACTGTCTCAATTTTTCTTAATTGTAACATTAATCCATTAAAGTTTATTTCTTGTACAGTATTTATTATCTCTGCCAGACGATAAGCAGTCTCCTGGGTGAAAGTCCTTTGTACTTTGTACTCTTTATACTATGTCACCTAACCTCTAAGACATTCGCGTGTAAAATAACACAGTCTCTGCACAATATAAGTCAGTGTAGACTAAATGCCGTGAATGACATGCGAAAGCACGTCATTTCAACACATTGGCACATTATTCATACGCCATTTGGTGATGCCAGGCCTGGCAGAGATCTGCACTCTACTGAGAGCACTGTTCTAGTTATAAGATGTTAATTGTGTATTGAATGGTGTAACTATTTTCCACAATGACACATAAATAGTACCAGCTCTCCCGATTAAATTATGAAAACATGTTTCAGATGAGGAGTTCAATCCAAAACCAATTAAATTAAAACAATGTAACTTCGGTTGAGATGGGTGCATGCGACACAACACCCGGCTAAACTCGGGCCACACAAAACCAAAGATTAGTGTTCTTATTAACAATCTACAGCCAAATAACAAATTTTAGAAGACCAGTTTTAAACAGAATAAACATATATGGTGGTATGCAAATGTCATAATGAACTGATTAGATAGATGGTTTCATCAGCAGCAAAATTAATCAGTCAAATGCAGCTCTCTCCCCACCTCACTGTTTTTTCAAGAAAAAAATTTGATTTTTTAATTATAATTACACAATTACAAAGCAGAAGTGAAAAATGGTTTGCCCACAAAATGGCAGGCAGGATGGGGCACTTAAATTCAGTAATCCTTGCTCACTGCTGTTTAACAGGCTACTGTGTTGTGGTAATGAGAGACGGTTAACCTGTCAATGTGCATAGAAATACGTGAAGGAGATCTATTCTTCGTGACATTACACAAATAGCCCTATACATGAATTATTAAAAACATTATCTAGATTTTTTAAAGATTCTTTTTATTACTCAAAATTGTGCTAAAATAAAAATCCATTTACATTTTTTTTCAAACTTCTGTTCTATTTTTTAATTATTTAATTGTCCACGTATGTGGACACCATCCAACAAAGGAGTAAAATGTCACACCTGAAAATATGGAATATTATGTTTTTTATGTCATGTTATGCTATGTATTTAAGCTCAATAGTTGAAAATTAACAATAAAACACATATTTAGGAACAAATAAAGGAAACACACTCAAGGTGGTATTTATAAATGTAGTTACCTGTATGGGGAATCCCAGTAGTATATTTTTATCCATATCTAATTTCATGTTGAATCATCTCAGTTTATCAACATCCAACATCTAACAGATTACATAGTTCTAGTTAAAACTGATTGTTTTACAGTATGTGAGTACAATACTTATTCTTATATCTTGCAAAGGCTGTAAAGCAGTCAAAAGTTGCCATTTAATGCTGTAATATGCACTTTTGCATTGTTATTTATGTTCATATATTTGTTAAATGTCTATTTTATTATAATATAATAAATTTCATCTCATCATAAAATTAGAATAGATAAACTACCAGGTTACAGAAATCAAACTTAATGCAATCTCACTCCACTGTTGCATGACGCCCACATACGAGGAGAGTTGGTTTTTGGTGTATAAAAACTACATTTTACTCTAAATTTTAATTTATAAAACAAAAACCTGTTAATAATACTTTACTGCACATCCTAATATTTTTTTACCTTGATTGACCTCCTTGAATAAAAGTTTTTCACAGATGTGCCTGAGTCATTTACCACGTGGTCATCATAATCGGCCATCTTGGATTGATGAGGTCATCATGCAATAAATATGTAGAAAACAGGAGAGTAACCACTGTTACAATGTTGGAATCAAACAACTGACACTGTCCTCAAATGACTTGGAGAAATTTAGTTAAAATAACTGTCCAAAATGTGGACACCATGCATGAAAGGGAGGACAATGTTACCTTTCTTCCTTTTGCCATTTATGCACATGAAATGAATAAACTGAGCAATGAAGCCATATACGTTTTCAGCTCACAGAACACAAACACCCACATTATGGTGCAGTTAGTGAATATAGGTATCTATTTATAAGCATCAGCTAAAATATTTTGTCTAAAATTCAAAGGCTGCAGCTCCATTACCCACAGACACATCAATTTGCTGTTATATGTGGTATTTGCTACATCCTCCATGGTGCTTTATTTATCAAAACATTGTAAAACCAGGGAATCCAAACTGAAATCAGTCAAGGGAATGGACACAAATTAACTTGAACACAACTCTGTCAAATGTAATATATTCTAACCCTAATTCAGTGAAAATGACTCTAGTGATGCCTTGACATCTTTCGGAAAGATGTAAGTAAATGTCAGTAAAGTAAATGTTGGTCCTCTCATTTTTTGATATTCTTCCCTTACTGACTTATTCAAGCTCATTAGCCTAATGTTTTTGTTATTTAAATACATAAAGAGAGGTAATATACGTTCATCAAAAAGTATGAACTCTCTTTTAAGAGCGAGTTTAAAAATCCACTGAGGTCAATAATATAAATGAACTTGGTAAAAAAAAAAGATTTCTTGTATCATGAAAGTCCAACCTTGTTTATCAAACCCTAATCCCGTTTGTTCTCAAACATTATTCGTACCAAGCTAGTTTGAAAAATGTAAACTGGCTGCCTCACTCATATTATGTAACTTGATTTGTTACAAGCTTTTTTACACTTGATGATACAAATGATGACGAGTTCCTGATGAAAGCCTGCTCAGGACTGAATACAGGAAGCAGTAAACGGAAACCGAGCATCGTCCCATTATCTTTTCTCCAGCAACTCATCCTCACAACTTCACAATCTGTGCCTAAAAAAACACTCATGTGGACAAACTGGCAAGTGTGCATGAGGAAAATAAATGAGAGGGAAAGGCTGGTTAATGAGAAATGCTATTTTTACTGCTTTGATGTCCCCCATCCACATAAGCACACAGCTTAGACAAAAACAAATTAGAGATGTCGACTGCATCCCAAAGACATTAAAAACATATTAGCACAACAACCATTTGAGACTGTGTCCACACACATGCACATGTGCTGTGTGTGTATCTGCATTTCATATTCAGAAAAAGTATTCTCAGTAAATTTCTTAGCACTTGTCCACACTGGTTGGTATTATGCATATCACTGTGAGCAGTTGTTCCTTATGGCTAATAGTAGACAAAATATCAACATAATGACACCATAGTTTCTGCACGGCTAGATGACTCAGAGGCATAGTATCATGATTCATTTCCCCACTGAGAGTTGTGTAGAATATAGATCAACAACATCAATGGGTGATGAAAACATCTAGATGGATCTAAAGGCACTTTGTCTAACTTTTTAAATAGCTACCGATCGTCGGGCAGCCTCCATCTTCACATGAAGATAGGATTCATGGGAGAGGTCAGCCAGTGGAAATGCAAAACTAGAAACCTGTGGAGAGAATGACAGGCTGGCCAAACAAAAAGATCAAGAAATCCTGAAAGCAAAAGACTTTAGGAGTTGCCCAATTACAGTATTCTTACATGATTTGCATTACTGTGAACGCCCAACTGAGCATCACCACCTTCGCCACCTCTCGCTTGTCGCAGTGGGAGTGTCAACCCTCATAAGCTTTAGCAAACTTTGCTCGTTAGCAAGTATTGAGTAAATAAGCAACCCACTACTCTCTCTAGGAATATGCATGACTTTGTGCCAAGCAGCACTTCATTTTTGTTTTTTAAGGCAAGGGTCATACAAAACAGGAATTGCAGAAACGTAATAATCTCATCCTGCACAGATTCCTCCACATCTGGTAAAGATAAAACTTTCTGGCCAACCTCTCTGTCAGTTTTTTTGACAAATCACAATAGCACCTCCAGGCAAAGCTGGCACATATTGTAGTGGGGCTACACCAATTTCTGTTTACTAAAACTGATTCCAATAATAAACTTTGGATATTACACAACAATACCAGGTAATGCCTTAATTTTAAACCTGCAAACCTCACTGTGAAACATTTGTTGTTTAGGGTAGCATGATTCAAATTATAATACAATCTGTCATCTCTCTTTGTCTAAGGTTTGGTTAGGCTTAGGCACAAAACTGCATTGTCAAGGTTAGAGAAACATCATGGTCATGGTTAAAAGAAAACAACACTGACTGTTGCTAGGAAGCAGGAAAAAAACAGCTGTCACTCATGTCAAAGTCACATGTTCTGTTGCAGCATGCACCTAAGAGGGTTTGAGGCACTACAGCACATCATGTGTCCATTTAGGCATTTGAACAAACAACCAATGCTGTCATTTTTCTCGAGAAGACTTTCTAATTTGTTTATTAAAAGAAATATAGGTTTGATACTGATTGACACCACTAATTTGCATGAAAATCTGTAGGAACTTTATGTAACACACATTGCACAAAACACAGAGAGAAGCATAAGGGGACACACAGGTAGACAGCAAAGGAAGAAGGGTTGAGGGTATTCATGACATTAAGGGAACGGTAATGAGTGACATGACAATCTGCACTGTATCTCAGGGAAAACAGAGGAGACAGGAGAAATTACGGAAGATTGGTTAAAATGAGAAAAGCAGAAATGGCGGCAATAACTGACCACTGACTCTAGACCACAGTCAATATATCTAAGTGGATTTTAGCTGTGCTGCGATAGAAGAAATGTTCCAGCACGCCCACAATGGGCGCGCACACACACACACACACAAAACAAACAAACTCAGAATTGGTTTAATTCCACCAGCTGGGTTTGAATGTGAGAATAGAAAGTGACATTATACACATACACAGTGCTATGGTTTCGCGCCTGCCTGCAGCTTCATTGGGTAGGTGGGGGCAGCAAGGTTGCAGGCTGCAATATTAAACCATCAATCACCCCCCAAATTAGGCATTTTACATCACACAAGCACTTACAGCTCTCTTTCCTTCTCCCACAGGTGGGGTCCAAGCCACGGGAAAAGAGATTACATCACGAAAGCAATGATGGTGCAGCAAGACCCATGAATACATTACACCATCATATATACGCAGAGCATGGGCGGAAGGTAGCAAGAAATAATAAATCAAAATGAATGCTATCAAATCAACTAGTTATTTCTTTACTCTGAGGTACATGAAGTATGCATATATGCAGGAACTTTCTTACACTAGTCACAGAAAATTGGAACATGTGATTTGTATTAACAGTTGTTTGCAGTATCTCATTTCTGATTTATTCCCCAATGCATCTTTTTGTCATGTGACCATGTTAAACAGAGCAAACAGCTCATTTCAAGTACCCATTGGAAGAGATGGCGTTGTGTCCACTCTGCCGTTTCTCACGTTTTGATTATAAAAAACATCTGGGGTATCAATGAGCCGGGAAGCCATTAACAAACACAAGCGAGGAGAGCAACCGAAGACACAGAGGAGGTTAAAGTAGAAGCAAAGGAGGAGGAGGAAAAAGTGAAGGGAAAAGACAGAAAGGAATAGAGAGGGTAAGGGTAAATGAAGCATGGAGTTGCATTTATCCCAATTACCAACTGCAGGGGTCTTGGGTGAGAAGGGAGAGAGTGTCCACCCCCATTAACAGTGTTTACTGACATGCCTGCTGATTACAAGCTGGGGAGAGAAACTGATTGCACAGCTCTCCTCTCTTTGCAAACATGAAAAAGAAAAAAAACGCATCAACACTCCATGCATAGACACACACAAACACAGCAAACCCAGAATAGTTTATTTTACATGCGATCTTCTTCTTCATCCTCTTTCCTCTCTCCACCCTACCTCTCTCTATGACTCCCTCATTTTCACTCAATCTGCCAGAGCGCACGAGTTAAAGGTAGATTTCATATGACCCCATTGTGAGTCCCCTCAATTCTCGTGTTCCTCGTCTCTGTCGCTCTGTGTTGTGTGGCGGTGATAATGGAAGTAATTACACTGGTCCATGTCTGTTCCACAGCAGCAGCAGCAGCACAGGCAGACTGTGGCACTGTGACACCCGCTGCCCGACCACATCCTCACAAACTCTGGAGAATCACAGTTAAAAGGCCTGCACACTGTCACACAGAAACACAAACACCAGGGAATAAAATGGTGTTTGTCTACGAGGTGATAGAAAGCCTATGGATATTTGTGTACTGTAGTTTTCACTCCCCGTTCATTCCGCAACTATTTCACCAAGCTTGAATGTGTTGTACGGTTTCTGTGGGATTTGCTGGATTCTGGTCTTATGGCATTGCTGAGATAAGCTGCCCGTGGGCGAACATACTGCTGCACTTCTGACCCAGCAATACAAAATGATATAACCTCTGTAGCGCAGGATTGCAGTTGATACAAGGGAATAGAAGAGCAGACGATAAAGAGCATGGAGGAAATGTGTGAGTTCCTCTTGAAAAGAGGGGGGGACAAAGGAATGGAAATGCAGAGCAGCATATCTCAACAAAACCAGAGATGAAGAGAACGAGAATGTGCATTTGACATAGCAAATGGCCTGGGGAGGTGAAAAAGGAAGATAAATAATGAATACAAAGTGCTTGTTGGGTAAATGAATATATGAAAAAGAGACATTTCATTCACTGGCTTCAGAATTTTAGGAACATTTTATCTCTGCAGAATTTATAGGCAACATTTGCATTCTGCATGTTACATCACAAAATGAGTTGAGGCAAATAGGTGAGCAGAATGAACCTGAAGGATTCAGGAATAAGCCTTTATGGCTGCAGAGAAAATAGTCACGTCTGTGTTCAAACAAGGGCACAAAGAGAAGAAGAGGACATCGTAGAGTTGCCCTTGCTTCTTTCTTATCATCACTTCTCTCCTCCTTCTCCACGCTCTTGTCTGGGTCTGACCTCTCTCAGCCCGTCTGTCAACTCCAAGCCAGGACTCTAGCCTATCTGAAGAGAGACACCTAGTGGTGTAGATCAAACCCCATCTACCCCTGGGCATGACATTCTATATCCCACTTGACTTAACTGCGCATCACTGTTACATATTCTCCTCTCTTAAAAGAACCTTAACAAAGCCACATTAATCAAATTGAACCACTAACTACAGCAATTATTGGTGTGATTTGCACATTGCTCGCTATCTGCCTCAGACGCCTTTCTCAAAGAATGAAGTAGTTTTTTTGATAAGGGTGGGCGGGGGGGATAAAATGGAGACCAGTTGGTTATGGATGAGGTGTCAGCTTTTGTGGCTGATCAGCTTGGTGCGGGTACATAGGAGGAATGAGACTCATATTACTGACTAAGGATGATTAAAAGACCTTCAGGTGGGTGGTGTAATTAGAAATCAATTAAATTCAGAATGCAAAAAAAGATTGCTTTTTGGAGAATCCTGATTATGGCAGTGCTCAAAAGTTAACATTAACTCTAATTTCAGTCACCAAATGATTTCTGATGTTCTTAGGCATCAGCTTTAAAACAAAAAAAAAAGCCCAGCTTTTATGTGGAAAGTTTAACCACACATCATACACCATGGATATCTAAGTAAAAAAAATACCTGTGAATAACTGTGAGAATTAATCAATCACACCTCTCATGCTTGTAGAGGGTCTCTCAAAGGGTAAATAACTGTTAAAATGAATGTGACAGGTTGCATACAGGATTGTCATTATTCTCCCGAAGAGAGGGCAGACATGACAATTATGATTGGACAGTACCTTTCAAAATACCTGTCTCACCTTATAGGTCTGACATTAAATCAGCTGACACGAACATTACGACATTCCCTTCCAGTCAAAAATCAGTTGAATCATGAAGCTCTTGAAAAGCTGATCTGCCATGACTGCTCAATGGGCTTCTCTGATAAAGCCAGACAAGGTGGTATTACACTAGTGAGCCCCAATCAGAAAGGCTGCAGTCGATCTATCATAGTGTTATCTGCGGAAGAGGTATATTACCTCGGGCCCAGACAGCCCTGGGCATGCGTGGATGTACGGGGCCGATAGCAGAGCTAGCTGTCATCCCTCTGGGCTGATTAATGAGGAGCTTGGCCCAGTATTTAATGTGTTTAATATGGGCCGCTGACGAGGCCGTCACACTGATGGAACCCACCCGTCTCTCTGACTGATGAAGTCACCTGCGGGTCTCCCTCGCTCTTTCACAGATACAGTAAAACAGAAACACACACATGCTGCAAAAACCACGCCTTCTCTACCTTCCACTGTGTCATCTCTGCCTTCTGCCATCCCTACCTGCGAGGAACATTTAAGAGCAGTTGTCTATCAGAGGTACCCTTTTAGATTTCCATTCACAATACCTAGGACACTGCTTGCGCAGAGGAACATGTCGTCGTTTTCAAATCAGACCGATGTAAACATATATTAAATTCATCACAGCTGAACACACACGCAGACAGGCAGGACCACTCACCACTGTGCTGTGACCCTGTGTTCATGGTGAATGGGAGGGAAAATTAGGGCCAAACGCAGAGCTCTGTTCTGGGGGTATTTTGGGAGCCGTAGCTCTGTAATGGAAGATACTTAAACCTTTTGTGTGGAAGAATCAGACTCTCTTGCTCTGTGTAATGATACAGCTAATATTCTTGTACCTTCTCTGCCTAGCAATCAAACTCTTCTCCTCCTTGTTTATTACTTCCAGCCTACTTCACTCTCTTTTTCTTTATTTCAGCTCTTCTACTGCTCTCCCACCTGCTAATTTTCACTTCTTTCTGCCTTTCTCCCTCCTTCACTATCTGCTGCCTTCCCACTCCTTCCCAGCACATTTCTATCTCTCTCTTTTCATCTATCACCTCCTCTGCAATGTTCTCATTTAATCATCCCCTCAAGAAATATATTCACCTCCGTACAACTGGGCTCCTATTAGATCATATACTCTGTTGTTACAGCTGTTATCATGGCCAATTCCTGTGCTCTCAGGGTGGCCAGGGGCTGCCATGTCAACAGTCCACTTCAGGAAATGCACACACAGAGCGTAGCAAAGATGCATATTGTAGGAAGTAACCTATTTAAAGTGTGTGAGCATGACGGTAGCTTAGCTCAGAGCAGCACATGTGCAGTACAAGCACAGATGTGTTGACATCTCAATGTTAACAACATGTTGTACATCCCCTGTTGCTTTACTTACACACTATTTCAGATATCACACCTTTTCACAGCTCACACCTCTTTCTCTCTCGTGCGAATTCAGGGCTAAAAGTAATAAAATCTACCTGGTAGCAATTTGGTGTGCTGATATTCATAGCAGCTGGCCTGAATATGATTATCTTTTATCGATTTTTTTTCCTGGCAAGCAGTAACATTTAATATTACATGTTCAGAGAGGTAGCATCTGCAGAACTCAAGTGTTAAGTGCTTCTTGAGTCACTCTTACATGTGTGGGTTGGATTGAAAATGTCATTTGCCAGTCCAGAGTCCAATGAGGAGCTGCACAGTATGGGCTTTGCTCCCACAGGGAGTCTCCAGCTCTCCATCAGGCAGGTACAGATCAAGCCGGGGAGGTGGGGCACACTCTGGCCCACCAGATTGGAGTAATGAAATATCAGTTCTCTGAGAGGCTTGTTCTGCCTTCAGGGTGGTTAGCTAAGGCCCAGTTTAGGTTTATATTATGGACAGAATCCTAATGATCCCTGGCCAAGTCCTCCTACCGTGGGCTTTTTTAATATATAAGGATCTGCTTTTTAAATTATGTTCATGTCATGTTCCTTTGCACCGCTTGTGAGAGGAAAGACAGACAAAGCATGGCTGCTACTGCAGCCACCTGATTCCCATTTGTGCATTTATTCACCCATGCACAATTTGCACGAAGCACACAAACAAGCAGTGGAAAAAGAAACCAATGCACACTTTCATGTGAGCATACAACCATGCACCACTGCAAATGCAAGAGCAGAAGAACATGTGCAAATCAAAAACATATCTGTTGTAGTTTATGCATGGTGGAAAACCAGATGAACATAAGACAGGCATGTCATTTGTGCGCGATGAACATAATCCACATAGAGGAAAGAAATAAAATCACAAGATTCAAGCATACCTGTATATTGCATGGAAACAGTGGCAAATGCAGATTTTGAAAGGCTCTAGGTTTTGTAATATATCTAATATGTGACTTATCCAAGTACAACCACACAGCAA